ATGTCTATTCTGTTCTATGTATAGGCTTAGCTTCCCCTAGCGGTGTGCTTTTTAGGAACGTAAGTGGAGTGACTCCACAAGTGTTCTGTCTATAGTTTATTGGATGTTACATATAATTGACGTTTCTGAATATTTAAGGATTTTCGTTATATTAACGAAATTTTAGAAAAATTTAAGCGATGTAGTTTAAGAATTCTGATATTCAATTAACGATTTAACTGCCTGATGAATGGATACCATTTCCACAAAACTCCCGAGTTGAGAAGATAAGTTTGAATATTTTATTTTATTTGTTTACTATGTGTTATTTCTTAATATTGAGCACTTTACTTGGAAAGACTGTTCGCCTTAAAAGCGTTATCTTTCAGAAATAGACTGGTAGCCTCACCAATTTGTTTTTTCAAAATATGATCTTTGTATTTATGGAAAAATTGTTCAATTGTTACAATGTTTTTGTTCGAAGATTTTCAAATCTCGTCATTACCAGGAACAACGTTAATGTTACCTGTTTCAATTAGAAGTTTTTATTGACTTCATAATGATATCATTATTATATAAAATTATACTCATCTCATAACTTCTCGGCCAATTTTAATCAATCTAGCATGAATTTGCATATTTCCAGTTAGCCAATTTATTTCTATATACGAAGTTTTTATTTCACTCAACAACAAAAAATGCAGAAACAGACGTAAGTCAATTATTACTGAATTTACCAGTGATTTCCCCAACCCCCCAAAAGACACCAAAGATCTGAAACGTTTATTCTACTTGCTGCAACCTTCTGTAGAACCACATTTCTCTCTCTCTCTCTCTCTCTATATATATATATATATATATATATATATAATCTCGAAATAAAAGTATAAAACTTAATATTATGAGACATATTAAAAACGGGCGAAGCAACCGGTTTCGCTCCCGCTCTTCAGGCTTCAACGGGAGATTTAAAATTAACACAGAAAAATGTACAATAAAAGGAAATTGTGGAAGAAAAAAAAAAAAAATAGCAAAAGGGACTAGAGACAAATGACAGCGAGCCCCAACAAACATTCACGTTGTTTACACAAAGAAGGCTTACGGGACCCGATGTAAAGTGCCTCCATAACCTTTAGATGAAATAAGGAGTGAGACCGGGACAGCACGATGAACCAGTTAACACTAAATTTGGCTGCACAATCTCTGTTCTTTAATAGGTGTTCGCATATGGCGGAACTATAGGTGTTCGGGACGAGTCCATTCAACATACCTACAAAAATATCTTTTTATATATATATATATATATATATATATATATATATAGACAGAGAGAGAGAGTCCAGCATTCACTATCATATATGAGGGCTGATATTACGTAACAGTTCATTTCTTTATTTTTTTCTACATAGACTCAAAATTGTTAAGTAGACGAACGGTAAAAAATATTGATACTGGGTAAATGTAACGATCTTAACAGTATGATTCGTGCAATGGTAAATAACTATACCAACAGATTGTACAATCGCACACCGTAATTTCAAAAAAGGATGATTTTTTTTTTTTTAAATTATTGGATTTTTTTTTTAGCGCACACTTCATAAAATTCAAGTTCATCCGTCCGAAGGACCGCTCTTGACCTTGACCGAACGATCTTACAATGTCTAAATACAGGTGTAAATTGGCCCCAGGAAAATGTTTTGAGCATAAATCATGCACTCATGTTGAATTTTTCTTTAAGTTTACGCATGCGCAGATATGGATGGACTTAATCAGAAGTGCCTCGATAAATATTAACACCCTTTGGTTGAATGATTTAACTTGGTTTTCGGAAAATTATAGGTTTCAAAACTCCATAAGCTATTTTATTGAAAAGTATACTAGATTTTTTTTAAATAACTATTAACTCAGATTGTTTTAAATAACTGTATCTCAGAAACAAACAAAAAACATATTGCACACATTTTCTCGATAATGACAACTTTCTTGGGCTTAATGCCAGTTGGCGTCAACAGCAATCTGGATAATCGCTATCCTGTGGAATTATCGCTGTTAAAATCTTCTTTTTTTTTTTTTCTTTTTTTTTTTTGCAGACATAGTATTTGCGCGTGCGCCCACATGTCTAACCATCTTTGTACACCTTCAAGTGGTTGAAGTTTGAATTCAGAGTTGTCCTTCTCCGAAACCAATTTTTTCAATCTCATACATATATATACATACATATATAAAATATTTTGTTTATACGTTATTTTAATACATACAATTTATTTTAGTAAATGCTCTGTTTTTAAAATAAACAGAATAAATTACATTTACCCGCTTGAATGTTCAAGAAATTTCGTAGAAAATGTACGTTCTCTGACAGGAATGGAACCTGTGTCCTATATGGAACCGTCGATTGATCTGACGTGCTATACTACTTGGCTACAGAAAAGTGTCTGGTTAGCCAAGTCTAAATTACTGTTTATAAACAACAAATCATCGACGATCTTTCCCGAAGGATCATATCTTTTACCTTAACGTAAACATTGACAACATTATGAAATGCTCTGCTTTTTTCTTTTTTTTTTTTTAAATAAACAGTATTAATTACATTTACCAGCCTGAATTTACTTAAATAAATTGTATCTATTAAAATAACGTATAAACAGAAAATATATTAAATAGTCGGACTTCATCCATTTCCTAAGATATATATATATATATATATATATATATATATATATATATATATATATACACACACACACTACGATATCGTGTCTAGTTATTTATTTAGTACTGCTCAGTTATTGCTCGCCCCTTCCCCCGTTTCCACTGAGTCCAAATACACTGCACAGCCCAGGGATTGAACTCACAATTACTATGTCACGAAATTCCAATCACATAAAGAAGACCTGAGCGTACAACGGCCGAAACGTCGTGAATATGACAATAAAGATGAGGACAACAGTCCGAACAATGTAAATAATTACAATACCTCATCTCAAAAATATAGTGAGAGATTGAAATTGGTGACACGTCATATGTTTCTGAGATAAAATACTTTCATTACTTACATTATTTGCAATCGGACTAATGTCCTCATCTTTGTTTTTATTAACACAGCTGTATCCTTCAGGTGCCTCTTGATCCGGGTCATCTTCAGAGAATTTCAAACTGAACATATTATTTAATTTACGTGGATAGATTGTCCTCATCATTGTTACATTTCGACCGTTATACCATCCGGCCTTCATAGAGTTTCTGTCCATCCGGGTAGCCTACATGGAATTTCGAACTGACCCTTTATTTAATTTACAAGGGTAGATTGTTCTCGTTCCATTGCTCACGTCTACTGATATTTTGTGTAGTTTCTTATTTAGTACTGCTCAGTTATTGCTTGCCCTGTTCCTTCTTTCCGCGAAGACCAAATACACTAGACCAAATACTAGCCCAGGGATTGAACTCGGAATTACTATGTCACGAACCAACGCTTTAATCTACTGGCCTATTGTCCCTGGGTGAGCTATAACCGAGCAGTACCAAATAAAGAACTAGACGAGATATCCGTAGACGTGGATGGAGAACAATCTACACCCATAGTTTAAATAAAGGATTGTGAAATTGGGCAGACAGAACTCTAGCTGGCCGTAAATAGCTGTGCAAGCACCAAGCCACAAGTCATTGTGACTGAGAGCTTGAGCGTGCTGGCCTTGTTCAAATTGTTGATTATGCTAGATAACACGCTTTGGTCTGCTCAGCATAGTTGCAGTATAAACCACATGTGGGCTCTGTGGGTGTTGAGCAAACACAAATGTGCCTGAGCGAGCGCCTGCAATAGGGATTGGCTAGCCGCTCTAGTAGACGGGTATCCTCAAATACGAGTGGCCAGCTATTATTAATATTAATCAGTCTATACACCTGTCTGATGAACAAGGGGAGTTTGTAGTTTATAATGATACCTCGAATAAATTAGATACATTACTTTTTATGGTAATGCTTTTAAAGCCATCAATGCTTCATAAGAAGTAAACATGCGTAAATGATGCAATTTTTGAAGGTTCCTGTATGGAGGAAAACGCATTAAATGCTCTAATGAAAAACTACTTGTCATTGTATTTGAATTGAATGTTTGCTTAACACTCTTTTACTATTTACCCCCCGCCACGAGTGTAGGTTTGACACAAGGTTGCACATACGACTTGTGCCACATTATCCAGTCCTCTTGATAGTTCCCCTTTTGGGACGCTAGGCTTAAGAGATTCACCCTGACTTTCCTCCCCGCCTTTAAGTGCAATGAGAAAGGTGCATTTTTGACTTTGGTTAATTTTCGCCTGAAATGCCCGTAAGTGGTGGTGGTGGTGGTGGGGGGCTATTATTTCTGTCTGAATTTCTGGGATGAAGAGTTATCATTATTTACACGCTGAATATTGTCCTCATCTCTGCGATTATTATAACGTTTCGACTGCTGTGCCCTCCGACTTTTACCAGTGCGTGTCGATCCGAGTGACATTCTTGGAACTGAATATTTATTTTTTCCCTAGACATGGGAGGCGGAACGAAAACAATCTACCCCCATACATTAAATAAGTTTTCAATTCGAAATTCTCTGAAGGTTACCCGGATCGACAAACACCCGAAGAAGGCCGGAGAGTAGAACAGCTAAAATGTTGTTATAACAAAAAAAGTTGACTCTGTGCGTAAATAATGTAAATAATTTTTACTTTCTTGGTTACAATTCTACTGACACTTTAATTCCAATATGATCTTTATAAAATGGTCTCTGTTCACTTCTAGATACAAAACATGTATTCTTTTATGTTCCGGTTAAACACTGAAAAGTTTACTCGATAAATATCTTACGTAGGTATCGCAGATTTTGCAACAACACAATATAATGAATGTCCATAAAAATGAAATAACGCTATTATCCCAAATAAGAAACGCTTTCCTCTCTACCATGCAAATTTGTAACCTTGACTTTTGGGACGCTAGTTTTCAAAGTAGGAAGGACATCGAGAGATAAAACATCAATGACTTACTTGTGTGATAAGTTCCAAATCTCTACAGTTGAATCCAGAGTCTTCGACGGCTACTTTAAATTTGAATTCACACGTTTTTTCCGGAGCTGGGGGTGCTACGCTTCTCGGCATTGTAGTCTCCTTTTCTCTGAGGGTAGTTGTCTTTTGGAGAATTTTCGAAATGGGTGTGCTGTAAACAGGTTCCACATTATCATGGGATTTGTCTATGTTAGTGGAGACTTTTTGAGTTGGGGGTAACACAACCCGATAAACGGGTTCGATTACTGATTGTGATAACTGAATCATCGTTACGCTCAGCAATATGATCATAATTAAACGAGATTTGAACTCCATTTTTGGATTAAAAAAAAACAACTTATTACTGCTATTTGCTGTTTTTTATTACGTTTTCTTATTTATTACGGACGTCAAAAAAGAATATTGTGTTTGAATGTTTCTCACTGTAAACCTCAGTTTTCTTTGAGTTTGAGTGAATGATAGAATCGTTTAACTTTTAATGGTTTTAAGTTTTGACACACTAGGCATTTATATTTTTAATATCTTATTAGAAGAAAAAATATCGTTGGTCCAAATTCATTCAAAGAAAATTGAAATATATATTTTTAGCTGTATCGTAATAATACTTTAAAGTCTAAAAAGGCTTGCGTTCTGGTCTCTATTTTACAAACACCTTTTATTTATTCTTTCAGGCCTTTTTTAAAAATAAACGTTTTTGTTTTGTTTTGTTTTTTTTTTTGGTTTTTTTTTCCAGCCTTCGTATTTATTTAAATATGCCTTATGGTGCACATGTGTCTTTATACTGTTCTTCAGTTGTATATCAGAGCGTTAAGCAGACGTCACGTCTATACGTGTGGTGCGTGCTTTATTCTTTCTTTCTTCCTTTTTCTTTTTTTTTTTTTTTTTTAAAGCCGTGTGCACTTTTATATATGTATTTGTTCACTCTCTAGTACCGTTTCAAATAGGGTATCCTTAAATATTTTGCGTGAGTTTTGTGTCCACTGAGTAAATTAACAGTATTCTCGTCTGTTTTGTGAAAAAGTTGGGAATATTAAACTGCCAATAAGCAACATTCCTATTTTGAGTAAAAAACGCTAAACGGGAAATAACGGTGGCTAAACCAAAGTTATAAGTCCTCTGTCTGTTCTTAAAATACTGAGAAGGCGAGCCTATTTGCCAATGGTGGGACAAATGAGGAGAATAGCAGATCTAAAAGGAAAAAAAAAGATAAAAATGAAAAAAAAAATGGTTCAAAAGTTATCGTAGTTATGCTAAGCAAAAGACATGAGGCTGTGAGGGTGAAAGGAAGCTAGTATAAGAAGAGGAAAAAGAGAGAGCAAAGGTCTGCCGAAAGGAATTGGCTGGGACAAATCAACTTGATGCAGCTCATGTTTGGAGTTTACACAAGTAGGAGTGGTTGGTTAGCTGCTACTTTTCAAGATTTTTTTTCCCTCTTTAATTCAACAATTTTTTCTCTGCTTAACAATTACGTCTTGTTTTAAAATTTATTCTACATCAAGAAAATTTGTTATAAAAAAAAACAGAAAAAGAGCATAGACGAAGTCTCATAGCAACATTAGAGTCCTTGGTAAATAAAAAAAAGAACTCCATTCTTGTAAATGCAATAAAGAAATCTGACATGATGGAAGTAAAAAAAAAAAAGGGAGGGGTGCTTTTTCTTGTGAAAGTATTATTAAAATTTGTAGTCTCTTGATCTTTAACTTATTAGTGCCATAATCATCATCATCTGCTTTGTATTAAATTCCTTATTGGGTCATTAACCGAGATCTTGGGTAAGGCAACGTTGTAGACATTTTGTTTGCACAAATTCTAATGTTAATTTATACTTAACATGTTTATATTTTTTTACATTGATAATACTCTCCTAAACAGATGAACAGTTCCGCACAGTGCAATTTTTTAAAAATCTCTTGTAAACAGGGGTATCATTTTTGAGTTTTTTTTTTATTATTATTATTGTATCCAGGACTCTAGTAACAATAGTTTTAAGTTTCCACGTCTTTTTTCAATTTACTTATTTTGTCATATTCTTTGATAAATATTTTTTCTGGTAGAACTTTTATATCGATGTTTGTAGTTCTTAAGCGCTACAGTGTAACCCGGATATAAGTGATTTTCTCTGGTCCCAAATTAGAGCCTGTGTTAATGTATATAAAATAGACCAAACCCGGATATAAGAGACTTCTTCTCCGGTCCCGACAACTCTCTTATATCCGGGTTACACTGTATATCCGGTTTATTATTATAACAATAACAATTATTATTATTATCATTACGTTGCGTAGCGGTTATCAGCTCGAAAAATAGAATCGGCGAGCAGAGTTCAAACTCCCCATTTAGCATGTCGTGTCCACTTCGCACTAAAATAAATCATTTCTTCTTTCCGCTTAGCTATGGGTTAAATAGGGTAGACTGATCTCATTAGGTGTTATCCAGTTTAGAAGGACAACTCTCAATTCAAAACCGTATAAATTGGTAACGGGAAACTACACCATATTTTTCGATAAGTCCTCGCAATTCACCGATGATAAAGAAAAAGAATTTGTGGAGAGCCATGTTTCTCTATGTCCTGAAGGGACATGGAATTTTTTAAAAGTTACCATCGTATAATTGGGTGCGAGCATTGACTTTTTAGGCGATTTTTAATTGTACATCCGCAACAATTTCCTGACGTACTGAAGAATTTTGGTGAAAACGTCAATCGTTCATCATAACGAAAATATTTCGTGGCCAAAAAGTTCGCCCAGTTTTATAGGCATAAATAAGAGACCTGATCTTTTTTTTAGCCATATTGTTGAACATTTTCAGTTTTGTTCTAGCGTTTTCGTTTGTTACCAAGAATTTCATAATTCCACCCACTAAACACTTTCTAAAATCTTTCACGACAGAGAGCTACACTAGCTGCCTTTTTACTCTCTTCCAGAAAATTTAATTTTTTTTTTCATTATGACATTTCTATCAAGAGTGGGATAAATAACGCCTCCAAAACTAAACTCCTCTTTATTAATCATCTGAGAGACCACCCCTCTCTGCCTTCCATCAGCATGGCTGATGCTAACCTCCAGGAAAATGACTCATTGTGCCTTCTCGGGTTAACATTCTCCGCTGACATGAAGTGGAAAAACTATACTGAATCCATTAATAGGGCAGCTGCTAAGAAAGTCGGTTCACTGTGTCGTGCTAGACTATTTTTCTCTCCAGAATCTATATTGTATATCTATAACTCTACTATACGTCCATGCTTAGAATATTGCTGTCACATATGGTCCGGTGCCCTTGCTATTTACCTTGAGCTCTTTGATAAGATCCAAAGAAGAATCAGCAATATTATTGGTCCTGATCTGGCGGCTCGGCTTCAGTCACTTTCCCACTACCGTAATGTTGTTTCTTTTTGTCTTTTCTATAAATACTTTCATGGTAATTGTTCGGGTGAGCTCTTTGCTGTGGTACCTAGACTTTGTGAATTTAAGCGCTGTACTAGACTAGCGTCGAGATCTCATCATTTTACAGTTGAGCTAGGCAGATGTAGCCGTAAGTTCTATGCTAACAGTTTCTTTTCTCGCACTTTTCACTTGTGGAACTCCCTACTGGTTCCATGCTTTCTAGCCAACTTTAATCTACAAAAGTTTAAATGCAATGTCAATTGCCCTCTACAATCCTCCTGATTTCTCTTTTATCTCATTATTAATGTTTCTGTTCCTAGTTCTTCCATAGTCTGTAAACTTTTGTGTTTTAGTGGCTTTAGTGCCTTGCATGGGATGATATCAATTAAAATAAATAGAAATCGCAACCGAACAGTAAAAATATTTGCCTTGTCAGAAAACAAGCAGTTTAATATTATCCTGGTTGGTTATTACGCTCTAGTGGATGTTATTTTCGTGATTGTTTTTGTGTGGTCTGATTGGGAGCAGTACTTGTTTGAATCAATCTGAAGGATCTTTTAGTATTTATCTCTCTTCTAATGCCACCATATGGTGGCATTAGAAGAGAGATAAACTTTTCTGGTACAGTTAGTGGTGGTTCGTACGCTTAGTATACGATTTATTGTATTTCACGTTTTATTAAAGAACCCATTTTTCATTACCTGCAATGGCAGATCTACTATGAAAGTAATGAAGCTTAAGCTTCAGGGTCCTTAATCCCAGAGGGGCCCCTGAAGCAACTGTTTTTAATGAGTGAATTTTTCAACAAAATCGTCTGTTTTGTATGTTTTTTTATTTTGTTTTGTATGTTTTTTTATTTTGTTTTGTATGTGTTTTTTTTTTTATTTTGTTTTGTATGTGTTTTTTTTTTATTTTGTTTTGTATGTGTTTTTTTTTTATTTTGTTTTGTATGTGTTTTTTTTTATTTTGTTTTGTATGTGTTTTTTTTTATTTTGTTTTGTATGTGTTTTTTTTATTTTGTTTTGTATGTGTTTTTTTTTTTTTGTTTTTATGTATTTTTTTTTATTTTGTTTTGTATGTGTTTTTTTTTTAATTTTGTTTTGTATGTGTTTTTTTTTTATTTTGTTTTGTGTTTTTTTTTATTTTGTTTTGTATGTGTTTTTTTTTTTATTTTGTTTTGTATGTGTTTTTTTTTTATTTTGTTTTGTATGTGTTTTTTTTTTTATTTTGTTTTGTATGTGTTTTTTTTTTATTTTGTTTTGTATGTGTTTTTTTTATTTTGTTTTGCATGTGTTTTTTTTTATTTTGTTTTGCATGTGTTTTTTTTTTATTTTGTTTTTGTGTTTTTTTATTTTGTTTTGCATGTTTTTTTTTATTTTTGTTTTGCATGTGTTTTTTTTTTATTTTGTTTTGCATGTTTTTTTTTTATTTTGTTTTGCATGTGTTTTTTTTTTATTTTGTTTTGCATGTGTTTTTTTTTTATTTTGTTTTGCATGTGTTTTTTTTTTATTTTGTTTTGCATGTGTTTTTTTTTTATTTTGTTTTGCATGTGTTTTTTGTGTGTCTTTTTTGTTTTTTGGAGGTTTTGTTTGTGTTTTTTTGTTTTGTTTGTGTGTTTTTTTGTGTGTGTTTTTGTTATTAAAATAAAAATATTTTAATGATAGAATCATAGCCAAACAGATACAATTGATTTTCAGCACTTGATTTGAATATTTTAAGTACGTTTGCTTTTTCTGGATTCATATAAAGTGGTTATTCAAGTAATTTAGTCGCTATCATCTTTTAAATGATCTAATCGATTTCGAAGTTCAACAAGAAATCTCAAGCATGAAACCGCTTTTGATAGATTCTATCATCACAGTACGAAACTCGACAAGAGTAGAAAGATAATAATTCCCCTGAATGTATTTTTCTATTTATTTTTTATGTCGAACACTACTCAAGCGTAGCTTAAACTGACACAGGCAGTGATAATGAAGTGGTAATATTGTGTTATGCCAGTATTCCAACTGTTAGGAAGTGGTTGATTTTGCATTTATGAAGTTATTTACCGTTGAATTTAGCATGGATCGAACTCACTACGTGGTAGTAAAGGTCAATTAGATTAGTCCCCGATAGCCATTACTCCACGCCGAGGCGTCTGCCTTCTTAGGGAATCAAAATCGGAAAGCTTGTCTATTAGTTATTTATCACCGGTACTAATGATTAATATTAAAGTTCAAGTAACTATTTGTTACTAATCAGGCTATAGTGGTTACATATTTGGGCATAGCATTTTTGTGTCTGCTATATGCATATGTGGGTGCAGTGTTATGTAAAATTTTAAGACTCTGAGAAATCTTGGCGAACTCTTTTTAGTAATGTAACCTTTGACTCCACTTCTAGTGAGAATTCTGCCAAAAATAGAAATACTACTTCGTGCCGTTCTCATTGACACACATGTTTATTGACGTTCGCACACGCACACACACAACCGCAATAATTTATGTACATGTTTACATACGGCATACGCAGAGAGCCTATATAAGTGAAATACGTGCTCACGTAAACATGGTGTTAGATTTCCGCATTTTAGGTTGTCTGATATTTTAACTTTCTAAACTTCGACTTGATTCTTATCGAGAAAAATGTTTTGTTTTAATTCGCTTAACCTCTCGACTGTCTTGTTTTCAGCTTCTATGTTTATTCCGTTTTTCTTTTTTTCTGCCTTCTATCCTCCATCTTGTTTTACTATCGCCCTGACAATTCGACCCCATAAATCTGTCGCCCAACTATCCTCCATCTTGTTTTACTATCGTCCTGACAATTCGACCGCTATGAAACATTTTTTTCCACAAAACTCTCGCCCAACTATCCTCCATCTTGTTTTACTATCGCAATCGCTCTCATAATTTGACCCCTATGAAAACATTTTCCATAAGACTTTTGCCCAACTACCTTTATTTGCCTATTTACTTACGCACATGTATACGTATATCAAGGCTCGTCGTCAGTTTTTTTGAATGTCAAAAGTCAGTGGTATACGAATAAGAATTTGCACACTAAAATTAGTTCACATCATTTTCACGTGTGAGGCATTCAAATGATATTCTCACTTTGACGACGGGTCTTCACATGTCTATAAATAATGAAAATGGATAAGCACTGCAGATTCACACAGTTCTTAGCATGAATGCTGGATATTTGTGTAATGTTTTTGTAATGTACGCAAGAGTGGCAAGAGTCTGAGGTTCGGGGAAACACCTAATCGATTGCTCTTCCAAGAACTACGGAGGTAATAGGCAAAGGAGGGAAAGAGATGGGAGGTAAAAAAAATAACATTGGCTCGGAAACCACAGCAACTTTAAGAATAAAATGCCCACGGGACCAACTTCACAAGACAACCGAGTCTTACAAACTCTTGGTTTTCCCGTTACTTTTATAAAGACCCAGATCTTGATCAGTTGCAGAGAGGCCCGTTGATAGACATGTTCACAGGTGATCCGGGGCCTCTTTTGCGTCCTTACTGATGCGCGTTCGCCAGAAAAGTTAGGGGAAAATATCGAATATAGATTCAACCAATAGGTGTTTTAAGTCTTTTTCTTCTGTTGAAAACAAGAAATTTATTTGCAAACTATAATTATACAATCTGATCAGAGGTTGGGTATTTCATATGGAGAATCTGTACCCCATGCACAAGATGCTAAACATGCCACTACAGTTGTTTTTATAAAGTTCACATTTATTTAATGTGAATTTAATAAAACCAGCTGATTACTAATGGTAATACAACTAAAAGACTGAAATAACAAACTTTGATATTCAAGTGAAAATTGGTGAATGTATGAGTTGCTGTGTCTCTTCATTTCTTTTTGAATTTCTTTTTATTCATCAAATTCTATTAAATATTAGTTTTATAGAAAAAAGATTTGGTATGTATGGCTATTAGGCTGATTATTACAGAACATTTACTTTTAATAAAATGCTTTGCGTATAATTTGTGTGCATACTTTTTAACATCGACGTGAGTATATATCATAAAAATATTGTTCGCTTATAATATTAGATTGTGTGTGTTTACCATTTCTTTCTGATGAACAAAATTGAACATCTGGAATCGGAAACCCGAATCCAAATTCCTTGCTGAGTTTCTTGGGAGAAAGATATTTATGGTTAGTCGAATTGTCCAAATTGTTTGATTTTTTTTTCTACAGCTTATCAACTTTTTCAGGTTATTTAAAGCCAGAAAATATTTATATATTGGAAGAATTGTTTCTAGATTATAATGGATTAGTGATACAAGTCTTACTAATTAACCCATAGCTGATGGAGAAGAGGAGAATTCATACTTTTCTCAAGCGTATTTGCGTTCAAGTGAATATAAAGAACATGATTGGAATTGGAACTCTGCTCTCCGATTAACAATTCCGAGACATTATCCATTATACCACCCACACATGCAAACTTACAGCACCTGGTATTCCCAAGTGATTACCCATCTCGGTACTGACCAGGCTCGATGTTGCTTAACTTCGCTGATCGTACGAGAACCAGTGTAAGGAGGAGAGAAAGGAGGACAGATCTTTATATTATCTGAATGATCTTTTAATACCTCTAATCTACTATTGACCAGTCTCGATGTTGCTTCACTGGTGTTTCAACGTGATATTGCCGTCAGCAGGAATTGTTCAAAGAATTGCAACTTATGTAATACATGATTTGTAAGTTTACGTTAATGTAAATGAAGGTTAAACCTTTATTGTACTCGTTTTTTTCTTATGATTTTTATCGACATTCTTGCATTCTTTTACTATGAAAATGTAAAGAATGTAACTAGTACTGGACTAACCATGAAGTGAAAAAAAAACAGGTTTGGGTATCAAAAGAGAAAGGGACAACACAGAATTATTTGTTTTCAGTGTCCAGAGCAAACACGCAATAAACGCCGTGTTGAGAAAAATTGAAAAAAAATATTTATTCTATTGTCCGCAAACTATGCTTTGTACGGATCTTAAACCAAGAAATCTGTACTTCATTTTAGTTTGTAAAAAGACTGACTGCCAAATGAGAAATGTCTGAAATTGCCTAACTTTGCTCCCTAACTTTCTCGGAGTGGTAGCACATGTTAGGGTCTCAGCTATGGACAAAATGTGAACCTCCAAACAAAAAACAAAACCCTGTGAAAGTATAAAAATATATTTTTATAATAAAATTACCAACAATACATATTTCTAGTAGAATTACCAGCAATACATTTTATAGCAAAATGACTAACAATATATTTTATCTGTTGTCGAAGCCATAAAATTGTGTTGAAAATATTTAGATTTCGGCATTAAATAACCCATAGAGGTTGACATGCTACTAAACAAAATCAACCAGCCAACACTAATGTCATCATTTTATGAATACCAGAGTGTAAAAAGACGATTTACGACAAAACGTAATATTAGTTTTTATTTAATAGCACGAAATTAAGTTTGAACATAATTTTTATAGTTGATTTAAACTCTGACCGTCTGGATATTTTCCGAAAGACAAATGCTATGAGCCAATAATCCCACCCAACAATAATGTCAACTTCCTTTGACAACACTGATTTAAGACAAGTTATCTTTAAATCAGAAAAATTTCTGAAGGCTTTATTAAAAATAATATTTGAATTATATTGCGAAGTATTAAATTTTTCATGATATATTGGCCTGTAAGTTTTAGTATTCTTGCTTAGCTATATACCGAGTAAAAGGATGCGTCAGCGTTGAGTACTGGCTCGTCTGGCTGATGGTTACTGCTAAATAGTGAGTTCGATTCTTACTGGATGCTCCATACTTCTGGCCTTGTGCCAGACTGAGCTAAGCAAACAGTAACTGTACTTGAGAAAACGAACATAAAAAATATCGATCTATAGAATGTTTGTTATCCCTTTTTCTTTTCGTTCGTTCTCCTCCCCCCTCCTTTTTTTTTCTCGTGCGTTTACTCTAAATTTTTTTAGCTCAGATCTAACTCGACGGAAGAAATATATATATATATATATAATCATAACATTATTATTTAAAAATATTTGTACATCGCGACACGGAAATTTCTGTGTTTCGGAATATATAAAAGTATTGTTAAAGAAATGTGGATTATTAATCCGACTGTTCTTTCTCTTTATTTGGGGATCATATATAAAATGATAAAATAAAGAACAAATAGGAAACGTATATCAATCTAACTTTAACTTTTATTAAAGTTTCGTCAGATGTTGAAACAAAAAAAGAACCATTTGTAATTTCAATTTTGTCTAGGTCAATTCTCATTGGTCAGTCACGTATCACATGCTTTAAAACTGTAGATAGTTCTATATATATATATGTAAGTTTGTCTGTTTTCTCTCAATCTCTAGCGAAACTTTAATAAAAGTGAAACAGATTGATATACATTTCCCTATTTGTTCTTTATTTTGTCGGTTCTAACCCATATATATATATATATATATATATATATATATATATATATATATATATATATATATAATACAACGTGTACTGCAGTGCCTGTACTGACGAATTCATTTTATGCGTGCATCTACAAATGCAAAATTAATTGTTTTGATACATAAATTTTATTTTTCCTTAGTTAAAAAAATATATTTGACTGACTTCCACATTGACAAATGTGGGGAACTGTAATAAAGTTAACATTATTTTTCTTTAAAGATCATCAAATATTTTGTATCTTTTTTATAAACTTGACAGTTGTATGTACCTCCAAAGATTCGCTAAAATTGGGTATATATAAAAACATACCCTAAACTTAATAAAGAGTTTTATCGCCAAAATCTTTATTATTAAGAAGAAAGACCAAAGGATTTTCTGATTATTAAATTATATTTTTTAATCCTCTTTCGAACCTTCGACATTTGGGTTAATAATTGTTTTTCTTTCGTCAACAGGTGACCATAAATTAGTATGTGAAATTTTAGCGTCTTTTTGGGGTGAAAAATGCATTGATTTGGAAATTCTTGCAAAAATCAAGTAATTACCAGATTTTAATCACACTTTCAGGACTTATTCACAAATGAATAAAATTATTTTAGGAATGGTTTTTTTTTTTTTTTTTAAGAAAATCTTGGTAATATTTTTTCTTATGTAGGTGTAACAGAGAAAGAATCGGGTCAACCAGATAAGAAACTCAGAGTTGCCACAAAAATGAGGGAGTACCTCCCTCGCGTGGTGGCAACTCTGATTCTCTTATTTTGATGTGCGTGTGTTGCGGGGGTAACATATTGTAACAGAAAATTGATTCAACCCCATAAGAGACTGAGTTGATACCCTTTGCTTACTGCAGTGGTTTGTCGCTTTAAGAATGCCGCATCTGCCCTAAAGAGTGGCTACTCTGGGTCTCTTATGGGGTTGACCCGATTCTCTGTTATAATGTGTTACCCCCCACACACACACACACATACACCACTACCACATACACACACTTATTTAACTATGAAATTTCGAGAAATTCATTTTCGTCGCACATAATGTTTCTATTACAATGGCAAGTCCTTGGAGAATTTAAATCATGAATTTTTTTATCCATACAGGACCCCCACTTCTAGAAAATCAGCTGCGGATTGCAAAATAAAAAAATCAATAAAACTAAGACATTATTTAATTAGAAAAGCTTTTACTTGCTTTTATGAATAAGATATGTGAATACCTTTGTCTTAAATACATTTATTTATTTCATTTTTAATATTTCGATCAATAATGAATTTTCATTTTTTAATTTATCGTAACTTATAAAGTTTTAAATCTTAAATTTTTGTATTAATTTGTAGCGGTTAGGTGATATTGTTATTAAGTAAAAACTAGATTTACTACAATTCAGTGACATTTACCCCAGTATTTTTTTTTTTTTTTTTCGCATAAACGTGCCGATTTTTTTAAACACAATAAATGAACAGAAAATAAGAGCGGTAACTATAGTAAATTTATTGGTAATTTTCTAATATTTCCTCAACAAGTGTCTTCGTAATACATAGGTACATTGGCTTCATAAGACTATCAATAAAATATTAGAAGATTAATATATAGTTAAAAAAATTATTTCCTCTTTACCTAAATTTAGCAATCGTCAGGTTATCGATAAATGTTTCAACACCTCATAAAAACACCCACCTCCGTGTTAAAAAAAAAAAAAATGAAGTTTTTCTGTGATATTTTAAACAAATTAATATTTGTTTAGCATTCTGCTACCACTTTCTTTCGGCGTCAGTTTTTGTACAAACTAAACACCAAAGTGGATCAGAGAGCCTTGATATTTCTCTGACCCCTGATTGGTCAATTAATGCCAATATTATGCTTTCGTCTACGTCCGCATGGTTAAAATTAATTTACTGCAAAAAATCTGTCTATGTATTTCGAGCCTATCACGTGACATACAACATTATAAATACTTTAACATTATAAATACTTTAACATTAACTCTTCCTCTTTTGCCCTCTATCGCATACAAGATGTAGCTGTGAAGAAATCGCGTTTGTCCTTTTAAGGGGAAACGCTATGAAGATGCTATGACACACGTACGTACGAACATTATTCACTCCTTCAACTACAAGCAATAGAAACTTATCATCTTCTAACAATGAGCTTTGCGGCATCAAACAATTCGCCAAACAAATTCACAACTTGTTATTAATATATATTTGTATATACATATATTATCGGTCTTGTTTTGTTTGCTTTCTTTACCTTCTACTTGATTATTTCTCTTGTTGTTGTCTTTGTTACATTTGATATTGTAAAAATTGTAGAGGGTCAGTTTTTATTTCTATTTATAACCAATACAAATTGGCTGACCCACTATAAACTAAGCAACACTTAAATAACTTTCGGCGCCTACAGTGTAACAATAATTAGCTTCTTTTTTTTCTTGCAGACGATTCCATAGTATAATGAATTTGTTTCTTTTGCGGCAGACTAAATAGAAGTTAGTAAATAGCTTTTTAGCATTTAACATACAAACCGTTCGCTAATATCGAAATAATATCACTAATATTTGCTACCACTTCTTAGTTTGAATGTAGATTCATTCTGTCAACCTCCTTTATTTTCATTTTATTATAGAATAATTCTTGCACTCTCATTCCATCCCGCTCAAATTTGGTCTACATTTTTTTCTTTTTCCAGGAAACGACCACTTGTCTTATTACTTTTAGTTTTCAATGTACCACTTAAGAGGGCGAAGACATGTGCCGTATACGTACGGAATCCTAAACCATATGCATGCACACACACACACACACACACACACACACACACACACACACACACACACACAGTGTGTAATATATATATATATATATAAACTGCGTAGTATTCTTAAAAATATGCTAGGCTGAGCAAATAATATTGTTTTGATCTTAAACGGAAGTAAATATTTTTTTATTAATTTAACATACAAAATAATGTTAGTTGTTTCTTTTAAGTAACAACTAACAATTTTTAGGCATAATCCAATTGAATTCTTGGTTAACGGGCAAAATGATCAGTAACTTTGCTATAAAATTATGACTTTGAA